ATGTCCAGATATTTTAACTGAAGATTTATGGATGATGATTTAAGGTATGGATGCAGAGACTAGAGGAAAAGTCCTCTGCCCCCGTTGGGGATCAAACCCTGACTGGCCAGTCCGTAACCAGTCACTATACTGAATGAGCTACCCCGGCTCATATCATATAATGGCATCTTTCTAAAATGCACACCAAATACTGCAATTTTATATTTTCCGTCTGTATTTTTATTCCATAATAAACTGTTAGATAAACAGTAAAATTCTGAAACTTGTGTGGCAACACATGGCTATTCCACAAGTGAGACAGCTCCAATGCTTGCAAGATGTGGCTTCCTGTGACTACTCTGTTCCCTGAACATAATAATGCCTCAAAATAAGTAAAATTTAATAATATGGAAAAAAAGTAAATAAAATTCAATGACATAGGTATTGGAAATTCCTAAAACTCACTTTGAGAGGTATTTCCAGCATTGCCAGAAATGGTGGAATAAATATGTATGTGCTTAAGGAGAATTAAATTCCTATCACTGTATCTCAGTTTTTGTATTTCAGTCTGATAGTTTCTGATCAGTTCTCACATGTTTTTAAAAGCTCTAGTATGCGTAGAAAATTGTTCACTGGGTCTGCATGCAAGAAGACATTTCACTCAAGGCACATTCACACCAGTGTTGAATGGGTGCAACAAAACATGCTACACTGAACAACAAATGGCATACAGGGAACACTGCCATTGTCCCATTATGTCAAGACAAGCTTATTTCCTTTAAATGAGAGGGAAACCTGTAAGGTGAAACCAAACTGAGTTCTTACAACAGAAGTCCACAGAACTTGTTCGGCCCATGACAAAGAGCATTCCTTACAAATACTCACCCCAGATATATCAGAATCATCTTCCAACTAGACTGTCTTTGTATTGCTAACCAATATATGCATAAAAATTATTATACATGACAGGTTCTAGTACTGAACTAAATTAAGATTTAGGTACATACTAATTTCTTTACAGATCTATCTTCCTTATACAAAATAGAAATCAATATTGGTCTTACTCCATTTAAAACTTGAAAATAATGAAAAAGAGAGGCATACTCTGTGCAACAAAAATCAAGCACTTTCAGATTTCTGTTACACAGACACCAATATGCCTGCAATTTCCAGTTTGATAAAAAGGGGTTAAAGTGACTTTTAGCTTCATTAATGATGCTGTGTTAACTGCAGAGATCGTATAATTCAGATAATTATAGATACTGAGTTTGAAAGGCTGTAAGAGAAATACATCATAGTAGTTTCTTGAAAATTATCTCAGCATACATAAGAAAGCACTGTTTAAAATTGCATGAAACCTATCAGGAAAGCTAACCCTGCAGCCAAACTTGAAAAGTGAATTTCTTGAACATGAAATAGTAGTACCAATCCCTATACAGTGATGTTCAGTTTTGTACCCCAATCTGATTTTAACCCTTTTTTAGTATGATACATGTCAAACTACATACAATAATGATCAATTTAGTTCTCAATTTTGATTGAAGCACTTCAAACCGAGAAGAGAAAGGCAGGAATTCAGATAGTTAGATAAGGGTCTTGCTGTTATATTCTTTAATTCAAATCTTTTTCTTGTGACTCAGCATTGGGTCTGAGGCAACAGAGTGTTTCCTGTACCATGTAGGACATGGCAGCCAAAAACGTTTCTCATATGGACAGCTTCCCAAAGTGCTTTGTTCCACCCTAATCAACAAGCGACGAATATTTCAGATAAATGAGACCTTTAAGATAACCTCCTCTGGAAACACCACCATCTTCAGATATTCAAACTCCTCCAGGCGCATCAGAATCTCTCGCATTGGCTTTGATTGCGACTTCTTGGCCATGGCACACACCCCCACCACCACCTGTTTCCCCTCCTCTCCCGCAACCAGATCATCATCACCTAATTCTGTCAGGTCGCCCTGCAATACAATAATCAGAAACATGTTACAATGTGACAAAAACTGTATGATGAAGGCAAAGATTCAATAAAACCCTGAATATCCATGATTCAGTCAATCCAAAGCAAAACTGTGCAAAAAAAAACCCTGCAAACAAGGAATATGGCTGTTTTCTGGGTGGTTGTGTCATGTAGTACAGGTATATCAAAATAGAAAAACTCATATCGGTAAAGGCAAGTTACTAAATTTATAAATACTAACACAACGGCAACCAACTGCTCAAAGACACAAGTGTCTCCACTGACAAAATTGTTATAATACATGCACATACATCAACAGCAATTTTATCTTTAAATCTACACTCAGTCACTCTTATTTTGGTTTACTTTCTTTGCACAATAAGGAACAGATATTTATGGTACCGTCATTTCCATGTGTCTGCTGTACTGATAACTTTTAAACAAATTATTTGTTTTCATGAAATTCAGCATGAATATCATTACAAGGGATCTCACTTCCATATTTTTAATCAACAATACAATAATGCAGACTGTGGTGTAATCCATACTTTTATATATCTTCAGACAGTATGTCCACTTTTTGATGGAAACTGTTGCATGTTTCACAGTCATGGCACTGTGCAGTGTCCATGAGATGATCACTATTTGAATGAAGTCATTTTACTGTTCAAATCACCCAAGCATCTACTTAGGCACAGCATTCCTTCTGTGTGTTTTCATTTGTTTTATATAAACACCAGGCTTATCAAGGTCAAAAGTGAAATTAGAGGGCTTTGAAAATAAACCTGTGACAAATTTTATATGCCACTGGGAAAAACACTTCATTAGCTTTCAAATAACCATAAATTGAGTATTGTAGATTAACCCACTACATTGTACTTAACAGCTTTGTTATATGTGCATATGTTTCCTTTCCCCCATACCAGATTAACAGCCATCACTACAAAACACAGAAACAAGACACATACCCACTCTTCAGAGCAGTACATATTTTCTTGCCAATCCCTTCCTGCCTTGAGATGCCCACAGTCTTTCCACCACATCCATGGCTCCATAATAATCACACTTCTGCTCACAACACTGAATTGAGATACCACTCACTTCACAAACAGCAGCAGCTGAGATGATGACTCCCAACTGCATTACACAATCGGGCATGTTAAAGTCTGTGCATTGTTTCATCAAGAGTCAGATTAACACTTGAGAGATTTCTAATCATCTCAAGAAATGAAACTGGCTGGGTGGACAGATAGCTGCATGTGTCAAAATATGTTTTCTCATAATCCTACAATAACCTTATTTTTAAATATTCACTCATTTCCAAATTCATTTATCTTTACTGTACGAGAATAGGGGATTTAAAACCTACTCAATGGCTCCTAACTGAACTTCAACCACATGTTTTAATGGTTTGACAAATTGCTAGTGTGATTTAATTTAAAAGCAAACCACAAAGAACATTTTGTGAGAATACCTACTGGAAGGCCAAGATGAGTTTGGTGAATGAATCTTATGGAAATAGGTTCTAGAATTGACCATATAATAAAATAAATGTAATGGTGTCCTTGTGTACACAGTTGGGACTTGGAGACACACTGTATGTAAATACACATTTCAAACAGACTGTAAAGGGGTTTTACATCATGCACCAATGAATACTTCTCACAGTAAGTAAGCAATGCACCAGATTTATATTTAGGTATGTTAATGTATCTGAATTCAGTTGACCTCAGTGGACTAGTGGTTAGCGTGCTTGCCACTGGACCCAAGGTTCGCGGGTTCAAACCTGGCCCAGGAATTTTAAGGGTGATAAAAATCCATAGCACAACTTCCTTCGGAGGGGAAGTAAAGCTGGCGGTCCCATGTCGTAGATTTATGGCATGCAAAAGAACCTTACAAGCATGAAGGAGATGTTTCATAAGCAAAATTCAGCGGCCGATTTCACCCAAGTCTCCTGGTTCACTGCTAGATGGCTCTGGCAGTCAAATCAGGATTGAATAGAAATTGTGCAGTCAGTGGGCTGGTCACTCACTACTCACAAATGCACACTTCAAGGACCATAAAACCTCCGAAAAGGAGGTGGCGAAAACCCACAACTGGGTTGTAGAGCCAAGAAACAACAACAATGTATTTGAATTCAAGTCTCAATGTGCAGCCATAGCAATTATAACTGAATTTAATACAACACTGTGCATATTAGACTTTCAAGCTTACTGCCTTCAATTAATCTGATTTGGATAATGAGTTTGAGCGAGAGTGTGTGTGTGTGTGCATGCGCACACATGCATGCACACACGCACCACATACATGGTGGCAATTCAAAATTTTTAATAACATACAAGGACAAATTTAAGGCTGCTATGATTTATTTCTTAAGTATATGTTTATATAGGTATATGTTTACATTTGAGATGAGATTTCATATTGTCTCCTCATGAACTGATTCCAGTGGCCAATGCAAATAAATTAAAAAAGGAAGCCTTATTTAAATTAGAACAAACATACTCATGTCCCTGTTCAAGAAAGTAAATGGGACACCAGTGATAAAATATCATCCATGAAATGTAAATTTCAGACGTAGTTGCTTCACAATAATTACAATGCACTTGAACTATGAGCTCAATTTAAAAATTATAACTTAACATAACTGATCAAGAGTTTTCTGTAATACTAGCCCATTAAATCAGAAGAAATAAGTTACTGGTTTGCTATTAATTAATTACAGTTAATCCAGAATTATGTTGCTAGCAGATTCTTACTCACAGTTGTGCAGACAGAATGATCTGAACTGTTCTTACCTCCATACACAGTTTATCAGTTAACAAAGCCTGTCAATGAAGCACCTCTTCTAGCAGAGTACCAAACTCCAAAGGTCACCAGATAATAACAAATACAGTTTGCACCAAGAGTTTGCTTAATGACTAACAAAGAATAAAGCAAGATGGAAGAGAAAGTAGTGACTGGTAACATGAATTGATATAAATCAGGGACAATTCCTATCGGGCTGACTGGTTCCAATAAGTACCTGCCATTTTTTATAAAATTATTTTTGAACACACAC